TATATATATATATATATATATATATATATATATATAATTTTTTATATATATACTTCACAATTATGTATGTGAAGTGTGTTTTTCTTGGACTCTTAAACTGGTATAAACATCTCTTATTTTTCTTTTTGTATATGAATCTGGTAATATTCATCCTAACAACTTTTATGAAAAATTACATTACAAATATCAGTTTAAGTATCATTTTTCTTGATTTATTAAGGACTCCTTGTGAGCCACTTTCCTATTTACATGAATCAATTTTCTTATATTTCACTCAGAACTCAGGGTGTATTGAACTGTGCTGATTCTCTTAGAGTCTTGATATCACTGCCTATCCTTTTCTATGCTATTTTTTCTCAAACACATTATATACTGTATGAATGCACGATTTATTTCTAATTTTCCTTTCTATTTATACTCTGAAATGGAAATGAAGAATCAATGGTATTACTGAGGAAAACATCGTTATCTAGTCTGATTAGATGAAAACAAATTTTCTCCTTAATTGCCCCATTCTTCATTTACTTTCTTTGTTTAGACAAAGCTACATTACTTGTAAGTGAGATGGACAATGACACCGATAATTAAAAAAAAAAAAAAAAATGTTGGTTTGCTTGTTTGGAGGAAATTTCTGACAATTAGAATCAGATGCAATATAAACAACATTGGAAAAGAAATGGCGATTTAATTGGTTAATTAATTATTTCTTAATCCAGCAAGAGACCCTTAAGTGGGGCTGCTAATTTTGATATTCCCCCAGGAACTTTCACTAAACATGTGTTCACTCTGTCTTCAAATACACTGAAAGATATATGAATCTAAGAGATTTTCCCCAAACAAATCAATGAGCTGGAAGCCTCAAATAAATTTGTATAGACCTGTTCCAGTAACACGTTTTACAGGCTGTGCTTTTAAGTATGTCATTAGCTGTCCATTTAGGACAAGATAGTCTCTTTTTCTCCCTAGGGGCTCACCTCGTGTGCCAGTGGTGACAGAATGTCATTATCAAGTTTGCAGGGATGCACAAGGTTTGTTTGGTTGTTTTTTTTCCCTCCAATCCACACTGTCAAAACAGAACAATGAAGAGCAATGTTTTAGAATCCAAGAAATCAATCAAATAAAACCTCAAAATTATTGTTATTTTCTGTGCAATTTTTAAATCTTAATTATCAGTCTCCCTAAAATTTTAGCATGCTAAAAGATTACCTGAGAAACCCTGGAATTTTTTTATAGATTAATCATTATAATTCTTAACAATTAAAAATGACCAAAATTCATAGATTTTGTTATAAGAAAATCTCATATACTCTAGGTATTTTTAAGGGGTGTTCTCAGTGTTTGTTTTTTTAACATGAAAAGGGATGTCCATGAAAAAGGCAATAAAATTGTAGTTACCAGACCAGCTGGTCTCACAGGAAAAGCTAGCAAAGATATAAAAATTAGAAATGGCATAAATATTATAGTGTCAGTAGTCAATAGAAGACTAGGAATGAGTATTGAAATTAGATGATAAGTTATAGGGATCATTCTTTTTTTCAGGTGGAATTATAGAATTGATATGATGATGATGATTTGTTTTTAGAATATGTATTCTTTGAAGACATATATACATATCTTGAATTCTGATAACATTTGTACTTAACTGTATAGGTATGCATAAATCAATGTTGAGTTAATATTTTTCATATTATTTTTAAAAGTATATAAAATTAGCAATAAAAAGTGAGCATTGATATAAAGGAAGAATGGGAAGAACACCCAAATTTATTAAGCTACACGATGGTACTTGATTCTTGGTCCAGCTGTGTACATTTCCAAAGTACTTAGCAAAATACTTTTCTGGCTTGTCTCTTTAGGCAAATAAATATGTAAACATTTTTTTAGCCCAGATTTCCCTAGACAGCTCCTCTCCTCATGACTAATAATGATCTAGCAATCTAGTACCCCCATCCACATTCTCAGTACCAATAAACAGGACTAATGTTATCCTAATTATCTAAGTTAGTGATTGTGGGTAAGACCCTAGGTTCTGCTCTAATACCACTTGTCTTCTACCATCCAGTTGACTATTTCACCTCTTCAATATTTACTGAGAAGTGAAATAATAAAGTGGCCCTATAGCAGGCACTCTATAGATAGCCTTGTTGAAAATCCATCCCCAATTTTTAGTAACTTCACAATCTTGATCAAGTCACTCAAACTTTTTAAGGATTCATATTGTCTTCTTTCAAATGAAGATTAAAATAGGTCTGACCTTACAGGGCTGTCATAAGGCTTATTTGATATAATTTATGTAATAAACTTATCACAGAAATATCAAATAGTACATACTCAAAGATGTTATCTTTAATCATCATCATCATCATCATCATCATCATCAGTACAGCAGCAACAGCATCACCATCCTCATCAACATCAGCATCAGCATCACCATCATCAACACCATCAGCATCACCATCATCAGCACCATCATTGCTGTAATCATCATTTTGAATCTGTTCCTATATCACCTGATACTTCCTCTGCTTTCATTCAGGTCTTCAGCACATGATTCTCATCTGATATGATACCTTGCTAATTATTCTTCCTGTTTCCAAAGTTATCACTCTTTCAGAATAGTTTTTTAAAATAAAAATGGATCACGTCTCTCTTATGCTTAAAAACTCATCTCTCTAATTGAACACACAATTCATATATAGAAAAATTCATCTCTCTTGTTGAATACACAATTTTGAAATGGGATGAGATGTTCTCATTGACTCAAACACCTCATCCTAATTTCTTCTGTCTGGCACCACCTAATATGCATTAATTTCTAATGTATTTACTCTCTGTTTTCTGTTTTATCATATATAACTCCACATTACTTTGGAATTGAGTTTGATATTCCAAAGATAGAAGGGAAATTTCATTTATACTCTCAAACTCAGACTCACATATGTTTCTCTGTTGCTTTTCTAATCTTTTTTTTCAATAAATTGAACATTCTTCAATGAATTCAAATGTACACACACTCTTCCATCCCAGTTTATCCTTTCTTTAATAAACATATATATTCTTATTAATCTATAATAGTTTTACCTTATGATACTCTTGTCCCATCAGTAAGGCTGGTTAAAACATGGTTAATCAGATGACCAAATCACTTGCTCTCTCTAAAAAAACAACCAAACATTTTTCTTATTATGATTTCTATGCCAAATGTGTGATCTCTCTTTCCTTAGAATCCTCATAGGACTTTTATTATTGTCTTAACACACCTACTATGTTCTTTTCATCTTTACTTTTTGGTTTAAATAAGCTATTTCAGCTCCATCTTTAGCAGAAGGACAAAAAATGTCATCATGCTATAGCCCACATAAATTAAACTCTGTATGATTTTTTATTATGTGTTTGATTAAAAGCCATGGACTAGCAAGGACTATTTTATTCCTAGAAATCTGATATAAATAATTAAGATATTATTACAATTCTACTCAGAACAATGGAATAATTTCTTGCTTTTTTCTCTTCATGTTTAGGGTAGACTACAGTTTTATTTTCTAAAAATATTGTAATCTTATTTTTCCAATGTTAGTGGTAATTTTTCATCCAATGTCAGTATCAGAATGTAATTGTTTTGCAGTCAAGATTTCATTTACCACTCATAAATCATGGCTAAATTTTATGTGTTCCATCTAGACTGTTAATTTTGTTCATAAGTATACTTTGAAATATTTGATGCATCTTTTTTGTTTACATCCCCAGGCTTTTTATTCTTATTTTAAAAATTTTAAAATTTATTTCTTTAAATTTTAATTTGTTATATATGACAGCAGAATGCATTATAATTCATACTACACATATAGAGCACAATTTTTTTTCTTTTTTTTTTTTCATAGTCCAAATGCTTTATTGTTCTGCTTATTTGTAAATGCTTACCAATACTGAAAAACACCCAGCCTGGCCCAGGCCACAGGGACCCGGGGCTGGGGAGGAGGGCAGGGGAGGTGGGCTTAGTGTTAAGGCGGCAAAGGGCTGAGGCCAGACAGCTGGAGGCTGGTCCTCCACTCCCCTTTTCCATCATCCTTAGGAGGCTGAAGGGTGGGCAGTGGAGCTCAGGCCAGTCCCTCTGTGGCTCCCTCCTGCCCAGTCCTTCCCTCTGAGAACTCTGAGCCACCCCCCTTACTGTCCGGAACTCAACCCTGTAGGACCCAGAGGACACCCTTTGGCTTCCTCTCCCAGGTGCTGGCTGTCCCTCTGGTCACAGATCTCCTGCATCATCCCTTCTGGCTCTAGGCAAGGCACGAGTGAAGGGAGAGGGCTGGCGTGGGGTGCCGCAGGCTGCACGTCTGGGGACTAGACACAGGCAGGGGGCGGGGAGGTGCTCAGTCCTTTCCCCCTGCATGAGATTACCCCGCGCCTGGGCTGGAGAGATGATGGCGCGTACCCTCAGATGGCCCATCACTGAGCAGTGGGCTCAGCCATGGAGCCGCTGCAGTTAGTATGTAACCATGACAATGAAGCGATCACCATGGAGATCATGGTGATGGTTCTCCAACCAGGGAATGGGGCTGGAACCTCAAGGGTGACACTTGAAGTGTCTGTCCCTCAAGCAAATTAAAAACAGAAACGAGGGAGACAGTGAGGCAGAGGGCGCTGGAGCAGTGCGCTGCCTGCGCTGGTGCCCCACGGGGTGGCTCTGCTCGGCCCCAAGGCCCTGCAGGGCGGAGGCAAGAGGATCTTTGGCAGAATCTGGTACCATAATTAGTCCTTTACAAAGAGAAAACAGACTGGGGAGAGCAGGTCAGATTGAGCCTCTGTGGCAGTTCCTCCACGGTGTGGGCCGGGCACCGGGCAGCATTCTGAACAGGAACTGCGAGTTCTGGGCTCCCAGGAGGCAGCAAGTCCCCTCCCACCTTCCTCTTCTGAGCCCAGAAACTCATAGGACTGAATCCCTACAGAGTACCACAAAGTCTTCTTGCCCAAAGGCCCTGGCCGCTCCGTTACATCCTGCCCCTGTGAGGGCTGGCGCCCGCTGTGCAGCTGCCCACAGGGGCCAGCAGAGCAGCAAGAGGCTGGCGTGGGTCCTGGGGCCAGCCTGAGGGTCCCGGAGGCCACGGCAGTCAGTTCATAAACTGAGTGTAGCCCTCAGCCCCTGTGACGATGACATCCATCCAGATGCGCATGGCCTCCGCAGATGGGGCCACCATGTAGTACAGTCGGTCATGGGTCTTCACGCAAAAGGTGAGGGCTGGGTTCCGGCTCTTGGCTGCACTGCGCAGGTGGTCATAGTACACTTCCTCGATGGCCTGGAAGTAGATGACCCCCTTCAGCTTCGTCTCATGCTTGTCCACATAGTAGGAAAGGGTGCGCTTGAGCCGGTCAAAGACAAACCAGCGCTTCTTCCAGGATTTAATCTTTCCACCCATCTTGACCAAGTAGCCACGGCAGACCTTACTGCTGAGCACCACATGCAAGCAGGTATCCACACCATGGCCTGATGACTCGATGTGGGTCTTCAGGTCAAAGTCCTCCTTCCGGATAGGCAGGTAGCGGGTCAGGGGCCGTGCCTGAGAAAACTGTTTCTCCCGCATCTTGACCTCCTTCTCCACCAGCTGCTGCCTCCGAGCGCTCTCACTCTGCAGCCTCCGTTCCACCTGTTCCCGCCTCCGCCGCTCCTCCTCCAGGGCCTGCCTGAGCAGCTCCATCTCCCTCTCCCTAGACTCCATGAGCCGGCTCTTCTCTGCATGAGCTTCTTTTAGCATCTTCTCCATCTTCTCAATCTTGCCCGCGTCCAGACCACTGGCACTGGACATGTTGTCAGGAGAACAGGCCGAATTGCCCCCAGTGGAGATGCTGGTCTCCATGCTGGTCTCTGGTTGTACACAAAGTAGAGTCACACCATTCATGTCTTTATACTTGTACTTTGAATAATAATGATCATCACATTCCACCATCATTTTAACCCCATGCCACCTCCCTTCCCCTCCAACCCCTCTGCCCTATCTAGAGTTTATCTATTCCTCCCTTGCCCCCTCTCCCTATCCCACTATGAATCAGCCTCCTTATATCAAAGAAAACATTTGGCATTTGGTATTTGGGGATTGGCTAACTTCACTTAGCATTATCTTCTCTAACTCCATCCATTTACATGCAAATACCATGATTTTATTCTCTCTTATTGCTGAGTAATATTCCATTGTGTATATATATCACACTTTTTTTTATCCATTCATCTATTGAAGGGCATCTAGGTTGGTTCCACAGTTGAGCTATTTATTGTGAATTGTGTTGCTATAAACATTGATGTGGCTGTGTCCCTGCAGTATGCTGCTTTTAAGACCTTTGGGTATAGACCAAGGAGAGGGATAGCTAGGTCAAATGGTGGTTCCATTCCCAATTTTCCAAGAAATCGCCATACTGCTTTTCATATTGGCTGCACCAATTTGTAGTCTTACCAGCAGTGTATGAATGTACCTTTTTCCCCACATCCTGGTCAACACTTATTGTTACCTGTGTGCATAATAGCTGCATTCTAACTGATGTGAGAAAAATCTTAGAGTGGTTTTGATTTGCATTTCTCTAATTGTTATTGATGATAAACATTTTTTCATATATTTGTTGATTGATTCTCTTAAATGTTGAAATGAATTTAAATAATTCACTCTGAGAATATTTTTAAGAGAATAATTACTTTTTCTTTGAAGCAAGTTTTAAGAATAAATGTTTTTCAGACATAAAAATATGTATTCAGAAATATAACCTTATTAAACATTATTATTATGCTTTGTAAAAATATAACCCATTTCTTTTCAAAATGATCTTAAAGTGACCTTATCACATTGAAACTATACTTGGAAACATATATGTGCTTTAGATATGTTTAAAAAGTAACTCTTAATTTTCCTTTGAGAAAAATGCATTTTTCATATCTTCTGTAGATAACATTCATGCATTCAATAAATCAGTGTGATCATTTGTCAATCAGACACATTCTATTTCAATAACAGCTTAAGACTTAATATACTGACTAAAATATATATCCTTTTATTGCCCTTTTTTATATAAAGGAACTCTATTCCCTGGATCACTCCTAAATTTCTTTTTCCTGTAGAAACAAGAAATACCTCTTCTAGAGTCAGTGAAACTCATATGTGGAAAAAATACCTTATTAGTATGTTAAAAGTTCAAGGAATGTTACTGGAACTCTGTTGAAAAACAAAATTAAAAACTGAAAAGAGAAAACCACCCAGCAATGCTAGACAATATCTGAGTTACCAACAATAAAGAACCTTTCATTTGCCTAATAAAGATTGAAGTCTTATTGTAAAATACACATTTCATAAGAGGTCATCTGAAATGTGAATGCAGACTGAGTTCTATTATATTTTATTTGTATGTAGGCTATTAGTGAATTTTTATTTTATATTCATTATAGGGCAAAGATGTTTCTCAAATTCCCTCAAGGCAAATTTTGAAAGATACTATTTGGTAAACACATGCTTATTGCCTAACCTTGGGATTAATTATCTCAAGGGAGGAAAGGGAGGACTGAGGACCCTTCACAATTTGAACTACATGTCCTTGATTCACAATCTCTTTCTACAGACATCTCAACTTTATTTACAGAAGCATTTTCAGAATTAAGCTAATTAACTTTCAGATCAGGCTTTTGTAACCTACCTTTCTCTCCTTGAGTTCAAGGGTGATGTGCAAATTCGTATGCATGCTCAGACATATCCTCCAAGTCCTATACACAAACATGATTAGCTAAATTGTCAGATGAATGCAAAGCTATGTTAAATAGAAATTGTCAAACACATACTTCAACTTCTATTCAAACCAGAAGTCAAAACACTGTATTTGCAATGTGATAAATGTAATGTGCAACAGTTCAAGAGTCCATCTTCTTTTGGCTTTCTCCCCTGTACTTATTTTATAGAAATTGGCTTAATATTTTCATTCCATGTGTTTTCATGTTTCCTATGTGATTTCTTTACATCATTTTTTCCTATTTCTTTTATGTTTAATTTCTTCAGTAGGCTTTCTGTCACTTTTATGTTGTATTTAATCCTATTTTTGTAGTTTATTTTAAGTGTAATGATAGTAGTTCATTTGGAGAGTACTGGATCCTGTCAAATTTGCTGTATTAGGCTAATTTTGAGGCTATAGATTTAGTTTTAAAAAATTCAATATCTTAAAATATAATTTTGAGCTTTAAAATTTTTGACTATAAATGTCAGAATAAATTTAGATATATCTTTAAATACATTCAAAAAATTATACAGTGCTTTCAAAACCTATCAGGGCACAATGCAATATTTTACAAAATCATTCTCCAATTCAAAGTTTGGAATTTTTCTATTGCTTACTCTGTTGTAGGTATAACAATTTACTCTTCATGTTGACTACTTGTTAAGTAAGTATTCTGGAATTATGCTTAGAAATTATGAACAAAATAAAATGTTTTGATTCTGATCTTAAAAGTCTATTTCTATATACTCATTTCCCTCCCCATCCCTATGACTCCCCCAGTATGCTTAATTAATGCTTTATATTTTAATAATATTTTATAGATTATCAATACTTTATTTGCAAATTATTTTTATTTGATCCTCAAGTGACTTCGCAAAGTTTACAATATTTAAATTCAATAAGTAAAATTTCTTCATAGTAGCATCTAGGTTAGTATTTTATTTAATGATGGAGAAATGATGGGGGCAAAATTCTGTCCCCCTTTCAATGTGACTTACCAAAGTATTTCTGTTGTTCTTTGATAAAAGTTTTATATTTTCATCTTCTGTATTTTCGGCCTTGGATCTATTTCAATATATTTTTCTGTGATGTGAAACTAGGTTGATGTTTATTTTTCCATACAAATATCTACATATTTTCACATCATTTCTTAAAAAAATTCCACTTGCAGGGGGAGAGGGTAGGAAAGATGGTAGAACGAGATGGACATCATTACCCTAGGTACATGTATGATTCCATGAATGGTGTGACTCTACTTCATGTACAACCAGAGAAGTGAAAAATTCTGCTTTATTTGTGTACCATGAATTGAAAATCTCTCTATTGTCATGTATAACTGATTAGGACTAATAAGAAAAGTTTAAAAAATTATCCTTTTGACCTACTTAATTACTTTTATTCCTTTGGTAAAAACTAGTTGAACATAATATATCAGCTTTTTTTTTCCAGGATTCTGGTCTTGTTTATTAGTCTTTATGACATTCTTTTGCCAATACCATGCTATACTAGTTATTATAAATATGGTAAATTTTGAAATCAGGGAGTGTAACTTCTCCAAATTTGTTTTTCATTATTTTTGGTGGTTTTTAATTTATTTTCAAAATAGTTGTTATTGGTATGTGGAAATACTGTTGGTTTTTATGTATTGCTTTCTGTAATACTGTTAAATTTATTTATTATTTCCAGAATTTTTTTAATTCAAATTAACTTCTGTGTTAACCTCTAAGTTGTGGTTAATAATTCCTATCATTGAAAGCTTTGTGAATATTAAATTATCTAATTATAGGAAGAAATTAGAAATTTCATTTTAAGATTTATGCTATAAAAATTAGTTAACATGAGCTTAATTTCGGTTCCCATACTTTAGACTTGACACAAAATTCTAATGGTAAATAAGAAACTTGCAGTATTAGGCAAGGTGAAGTTTTATAAATATAAATTTCACAAATTGACATAGTAATGTAGTAATCCAGAATAAGGTTATTATAATTAAACAGTTTCACAAAACCAGGGCTGTTATTCATGCATGCTGTTGCTTTTTTTACTTGCTCACATTGGCCATGTAAATGACAGAGTCTCCAAATGGATCTTCCATCAGCTTTCCCAACTCCTGGGCCAACTGTATTTAACTCTATAATGCAGGATACTCATTTCTCTTATATAGGAATAACTATATAATCAAGGCTGGAGGCAGACAGAAGTGACATAAATTCTGTTCTATTTGTGGGCTCCCAAGTATGTTTCTGGGTTCCTTGTGGATGTTCTCCATATTCTACATCTATCTTTCTTATAACTGCTTCAGATTAAGGCAAGCCCTGGCTAGAAAGAAAATAAACTCCTCATTTAAAAAATTTACATATATGTGATATCTAGTTATCTATATCTATATCCATTTCTATTGTCATTGTAATGCTCTTATTGAACATATCAAATATGGTTACAATTGAACAGAATTTAAAGATAATTTTAATGAGTTTGAGGACACATTCCCCCAATATATGACACCTTGACATATTTAATATGTTGAGAATCAGGAGGTACAGGTACAATTTCCCATTGAAGCAGGTCATAATACCCCATGTGAGATGTGTCCTCCTATAGCCAGAGGAAAGAAACATCTTCCAAAGATAAAAGGACAGCAGGAAGAATTTGAACACATAGCCTTTGCTAAAGTCTTTCCCAGATTCTACACTTAGCTGATGTTCTTTGCCATAGCATGTTTTTCTGTGAATTTCCACAACTCACTAATTGTAGCACAAAAAATGCCCAGGTTTAACCTTTTCTTTGGATCTTTATTTCCTTACTAAGACTCCCATGGCACATAGAATTTATATTTAATAAATCTGTTTTTCTCTTGTTGGTCTATCTTCTTAGCATAGTGACCCCAGCAGAGAACTTACAAGGGTAGAAATAAGACACATTTTCTTCCCCTACAGTTTTTTGAATTGTTTCTGGGTTACCTAGTATTGATTCCCTAATGTGACTAAATTTAAATGTAGTAATAACACTGCAAGTATTACTCAGATGACTACGGAAGACAAAGCTTCGTGTGATCGAATATATATCATCTAGGTCATGTTAGTGAAATTAAGGAGAATAATGAGGACGTT